GAGAAAATTGGAAATACTAGTTTGTGGAAAAAAAAAAAATTATTCAAAAGAAAACTATAGGGACCAGCAGTTAGCATAATGGTTATGTCACTGGACTCCCATGTAGTCGACTGTAGTTCGAGTCCTGGACCTAGTGGCTTAAACTCATGCCGGGCGCGTGTGCGTGCATACCCGTCCCCCCTGGGGGGGTGATTTCTTGCTTTCTGTCTCTCTATCTCTCTGTCTTTCTGGTGAGCACATGTGCCCTATAGCAAAAACCTCTAAAAAAAGAAAAGAAAACTATGGAGAGGCCAGTGGTGGTGTGGTGGGTGTGGTGGTTAAGGTGCTGGACTCCCACACAGCCGACCATGGTTCGAGTCAAGACCCAGAGGCTTGAAACTCATGCCAGGTACATGTGTGTGCAAGTCCAAAATCCTGATAGAAGAATGGAAGAGAAGGAATTGCTGCATGGCCATCCTCCCTGGGGGCTGGTTTTTGCTTTCTGCCTGTCAACTTTTTTTTTGTTGAGGTTTTTGCTACAGGGTACATGTGCTTGCCAGAGAGACAGAAAGCGAGAAATCACCCCCCAGGGGGGATAGCCACGCCACAATCCCTTCTCCTCTCGGGATCTTGGGCACGCATGTACATGCTCCCAGCGTGAGTTTTTAAGCCACCGGGTCTAGGATTGAACCGTAGTCAACTACATGGGAGTTCCGAGACATAGCCATTACTCTAACTGCTGGTATTATTTTTAAATTTGCTACAGGGCATGTGGACTCCCCAGAGAGAGAGAAGGAGAGAGAGAGAAAGTGAGAAAGCAAGCTGCCTGGTCCAGGACTTGAATCATAGTCAACCATGTGGGAGTTCAGTGCCTTCACCACCACACCACCTGCTGGCCCGCAGATTAGACTTTTAAAGGGCTAAGAAGCCAAGCCAAGTACTTGGTATCACAATGTCACCTGTAGTACCTATAGATTTGGGTGAATTTTCTTCTTTAGGTCCTTAAAATATCCTGTGGTTTCTGTGCCTGCAAGGAAGTGACATTCTTTATGCACCTGTAAGGCAACCATGTGAACTGTGTATTGAATAAACTAGGCTAATTTTTTTTTTTCCAATTGGGGGCTTTATTGGCTCCCA